AGGTGATTACCCATGCAGAATCCAGTGCCCAAATCAACATTAAAAAAGGCAGACACTACAGTGTGAGGACCAGGTACAAATCCCAAGGATTAAATGGTCTATCTGCACTACTTCTATTTTTGTATTAGAAGACAGTGAAGAGTTGAATAAACTAAGTTAACACAATAAAACTAGTTAAACTGAGTAATTTCTCAGAAAGGGAGAAGAGGACCATCACCTTAGTACGCTAAGGCTACTTTCACACTGAGGAGTTTTTGAAGCGCTTTTGTGTTAAAAAGAAGCGCCTGAAAGCTCAAGAAAAATGCTTCCCTATGTATGTTTTCACACACGCGCGCTTCCGTTGTGATGTAAAACTCCTGCTTGCAGCATCTTTGGAGCAGGTTTGTTCAGTTAAAAAAAAAAACAGCCCCAAAAAATGCCTCTTCCATTGAAATAAATGGAAAACGCCTGCCAAAAATGCGTTTTTGGTGCAGTTTTTTAACCATTTCAATACTGTGCAATTTTACACCTTCCTGCCCAGGCCATTTTTCACGTTTCAGCGCTCTCACACTTTGAATGACAATTGCGCAGTCATACAACATTGTACCCAAACTAAAATGTTATCATTTTCTTCACACAACTAGAGCTTTCTTTTGGTGGTATTTAATCACCGCTGGGGTTTTTATTTTTTGCTAAATTACAAAATATACCAAAAATTTTGAGAAAAAAAATAAAAACACGTTTTTTCTTTGTTTCTGTTATAAAAGTTTACAAATAAATAATTGTTCTCCATAAATTTAGGCCAAGATGTATTCTGCTACATGTCTTTGGTGAAAATAACCCAAATTAGGATGTATTATTTAGTTTGTAGGAAAGTTATAGAGTTCACAAACTATGGTATAGATCTAAAAATTGATCAATCCTGAAGTCAATCTAATTTCTTGAGGTCCAAGAATGTCAGAATAGTACAGATATCCCCCAAATGACCCCTTTTTGCAGAGTAGACAGTCCAACGTACTTCATAAGAGGAATGGCGAGTTTTTTTGAAGTTGTATTTTTTGTCATAATTTTTTTTTCGGAAAATGAAAACATTAAAAAATAATTATTTTCACTATTTTTTTTTTACATACTGTCACCAGTGCAGTACAGCGTCATCATATAACTGGCATGGCGGTAAACAGGGACACTGACTGGTGACAGTATGAAAAAAAAAAAATATTTTTTTTTTTATTTTTTAATTTTTTATTACATTTTTTTTTAAAGATTTTCTTTTCATATTTTACTATGACCAAAGTAGTACAATGTTACCATAGTAACATTGTACTACTTTGGGGAAGTGATCAGTATTTTTTTTTTTTTTTTTTTTTTACACAAATTTGCTTATAGTAAAGAATTACTTTGCTATAAGCAAGCATTTACCTGAATGAAATCGATTCATTCAGGTTTTTTTTTTTTTGTGTGTGCTTAGCTGTGATTTGGCCACAGCTAATCACATGACATGTGCATGTGACCTGCTGTGACCATTCACAGCTAGGCATTAGTATACAATGGATGGCATGAATGAAGCCATCCATTGTATACAACTGTCATGTGACCTGCTGTGATTGGTCACATGGTACCTGCAACGGGGGCTGGTACTCAGATCTGTTATCAGCCGTGTCCGAGGTACACGGCCGGTGACAGATTGCACCGCTGCGCGGCTCTGTAACCGCGCATGTGCGGGAGCACGCCATATGGTGTGCACCCGGAAAAGCTGAAGCATTTTTTGTGGCCGCCAAACGGCTATAGGCCGGGCGGCTAATGGTTAAGTCACAAAGTTCTTTAAACAAAAAATAAATAAATAAAACCTCAGAATGCGCGGCAAACACGCAGTAAAAAAACATGGCAAAAACACATGCGTTTTTTTCAGCAAATAAGTGTGAAAGTAGCATACCAAAAAAAAACAAAAAACAAAGAAAAAAAAAAACAAAGACAAGGTAGAGTAGGGTTAAAGGAGAGGCACCTACAAGGTCTGCCAAAAAGCTTTGCCAATCGCCTTACCAACAGGTAAAAAGTTTTGGGCATAAAATTAGCTAATCTTACATAATTTTGGGGGTGCTGAAAACAAAAATGACCCTAAAAAAAAGTGTTGATTGGCTCTAGTTTCCATGATATATTCACCCATCTAATGACGTAAGCCATTCAAAATTATGATGCAACTTTCAGCTGCATATTGCGCAATTGATACTGGTGACCAATAGAAAATTGCATGTATACTGAGATGATGCAATATTAGCCTTTAATTGCATCACTTCACTGCATAAAAGCTGCAGTATCTGTAGCTGATTGTAGTTGGACAGCGTCTTTACATTTCGTTTTATGCTTATATAGGCTACTCAGTAATGCCTCGAACTTGTGTGAATAAAGCAGATAATTTCTGCTATATCTGCGGTGAAATAACTTTTATCTCACAAAAAAAGGATAACAGGAATGATTAAGAAAGCCTACAACTTGTATTTTGGCTGCAAGATAGGAGACCAGGACAAGAGCTGGGCACCACATATATGCTGCAATTCTTGTGGGATGGCACTGGAGCAATGGTTGAATGGAAAAAAAGGCATCTATGCCTTTTCGCTGTGCCAATGATTTGGAGAGAGCCAACAGATCATGTTAGTAATTGTTACTTTTGTATGGTGCCTCCAATTGTAAAAGGGCTAAATAAAAAAAAAGTTTATCTGTGCACTATCCAAATATTCCATCGGCAATACGTCCAGTTCCTCATGGAGAGGGGCTACCAATTCCTAAAGCACCAGAATCCTTCGTGGTTGAGTCAAGTGAGGAAGAACCTGAAGCGTGTAGTCACGTGCAGTTGTAAGAGATAGCCCTTTCCTCGAATACAAGAGAAAAGCCAAGAGAAGCAAAACCGACACAAACTGAAGACAAAAACTAGTGAGAATCCTAAGTATTAAAATGATTCAACTTAGCTTATGGCTATCATTTTTCTTGGTAATCCTATGCAATATATTATGCCATTTAGGCTTTGTTATGTAGTCAATATCACTTGCTTTATATTTGTGGAAAGACATCTATCTATATAATTATTGTGCATTATGTAGTCATTACGCCTATAGTAGAAAACTTTCCGTTTACAGAAAAACTAGAGCCAATTGACAAATGTCATTGTTATATTTGAACTCAGAATGTGAAATTCATTAAGAAATGGATCCTTTTGTTTCCAAAACTGGCAAAAAAAAAAAAAATTTGTTGAACAGTGTAATCAAGAGAGTCTATGAATACTCAGCCTGTGTCCTTTACTGTGTAAGATAATGCAATTTCCCTGGCTCTGGTGCTGTTCCTCTGCCAGTAAAGCTGAACTCTGGGCCGGAACTTAAATAATTCCAAATACAAACCCCCTTCATAAATAATAATAAAAAAACAAACAAAAAAAAAAAAACCACACAAACGGCTTCATGAAAAATAAGTTGTATTTTAATGGCAAAACAGCAAGATAGATTTAATATATTTAATCATAACCAGCATATTAAACATACTATATTATATAGTACATTCCTGGCTTAAGGTATAGTATAAGGTATGTAAAATATTGTATAAATGAAAGTGACAATTTTTTATAGTCATGATATCATTCATATGCTTCCCAAGTTGTGGGCCATTTACCATGTTTGGCAGACATACTCACTCTGAGAACACAAGGGCTGCGCTACCAAGGCAGTGGATTAGATGGGAGCTCAAGGAAACAAATGAACAATCTGTTCTGCTTTATAAATACAGCATTTACAGTTGGCACTTACAAAGGATGTAATGGCTACACAGTTAACTAAACCTTTGGAAATGCATCCTGTTTTTTTTTTTTTTTTTTAACACAAATTTATGTGACATTTTAACATTTTGTTTCTTTAAAATTATATATTTTATCAGTCTTTATTAGAACAGGCTTCTAATGTTTGGGCAATTTAAAAATACAGAGAAATTAGGATCGAAAATCACACACTAATGTGAGAGAGTGAGTAAAACTCCTCATGCTGCTCTATAAAAAACACATCTGAAAACAGGGAGGACAATACAATAATTTTACAGACAGTTAAATGATAGGAAAACAAGAGGCAGCAGACAGATTCGCAAAACAGTTCAATCATTTTTTACACAGATTCCTTATTTTGCAGCACTACAAAATAGAAATACATATGCGATTAAGAGCACATATTTGTCAATGTCTTCACCTAAGATTCACCAATTTTTAAATTGAATGTTATATGGAAATTGGATGAAAGTTCTATGTATCCTGGGTTGAAACAATGACAAATAGACCCTTGGTGTTAAATAGCAAAACACTTGGTTATTTCCAATTTTGCAACTAAAATTGGGATAATACCTACTTTATATTTGTTACAAGTAAAAAATTGCAGTTTACATTTTAAGATGATATTTTCTGGAACTTCCAGCAAGTACAAATTCTATGTAGCCCTCGTTTTTATGAGGGGTGGGGGGGTGGGAAGCTGTGTTTACTATAAGTAGCCCTGTCTGGAGGCAGACATCTGTGTAATGAATGCTGTGTGAATTGGAACATATAGCAAAACATAGTGGGGTTTTCTCAAATTTGACTGCAAAAATGGAAATACACTTTAAGAACCATTGTGAATACACATCCTCAGTTTGTTGGCAGGACAAAAGAAAAAAAAAAAAAAAAGGAAAAAGTAGCACATTGATGGGATCATCCCTCTACTCACTCTGCTGTAGTAGTATGCTCTGTCAGTATATGGGCTTGCAACAGAGCCTCAGTGTATGCTACTGCTGCCCCTCTCTCTCCCATTGTGTAGGGAAAAAAAAAAAAAGTGGCCAGAGCCCGAGGTATTTATCCTTATTACTATTTTAGGTTTTTACCACAATTTTATTTTTACTGGAATAAAAAAAAAAAAAATGAGGGGAGTAGGAAATAGGTGAACTTTGCATTTTATGAGGTTGTTTTTTTTAAAGAAAGTAACGGATAGTACTGTCACAAACACCAGTTGAACCTTATAATTTCATCTAATGCCATAGAACAAATAAACAGCAAAGCCAATGAGAATGACAGCTAAAAAGAAAAGAAAAGTAAGCTGCAGCTGAAATATTATGTAAGACAGAAGTCCATTCACTGCATGGAGCAGGAAATGATGAAAAGTCTGGTGATGTTACTGCTGTGCTTCATGACCACAGACATGATCAAACCATTGAAAGCCTGACTGATGATAATGACAAAAACCCAAATGGAGAAGCCATCTAGAAAACCACCATTGTGACTTCCTGATAATGTGGGCTAGCAAATTGATTACAATGCCAAAGGAGTACAAGAAAATGTTTTGTAAGTTTAGAGGGATCTTTTGAGTCTTTAGGGTCATCTCAGTGTAAACAGCAGACATTCCAGAGATTAGACAATAGATCAGCATTATCAGTAACCCTGGAAGAGTGTTGTAAAGTTGCATGGCAGCTGAGGCCTCCTCTACATCCCTAATACCACCATAGCTGTAGAACACACCAGCAGCGGTCAGCAAAAACATGGCAAACCATTTGCGAATGGAAAGTCTCTGACCTAAGAAAATGCTGTAAAGTAAAGCAGTACTGACAATCTTTAGGTTGCTTAACACTTGAAAACTGCTGGGGTCCATGAAATGCTGCATGTGAACCACCAAATTATTGTTAGCACCGTAGAGAATCGCAGGAAAAGCATAGGGGAGAGCAAGCCTCCATGATACAGACATATCAAATGGTTTCTTCTCTGTGATTAGGAGACATGCCAAAGATATTATACATTTCAATACTTCAATGAGAAGGACAACTGCTGATGAACTGAAAGGTATCACCCCATCCACTCTACAAATAGATATTAGAGGTGCATGAGATCCATAGATGATTACAGACAGTATTAACATAATCGTCCACTGTACTCTTCTCAATATATCTGCAGAGGAGGATCTCAAGGATTCCTCTGCACCTACATTATTGATAACAATCATCACAGCTTGATCAGATTAGAGATAACCAAATCATAGGGAACACAGGCAGGCAAGGCACTAAATAGACTACTGTTTTTAATGGTTATGTCTTTTATACTGCCGTCAATGGGAAAACATGACTTCTAACTCCTTGAATGCCAATTTGTGGATTGGACTGAACAGTTCACAGATATAATAATATTAACTTTTCCACCCCACTTCCTGCATTTTAATACATGGAGACAGCTATGCAAACACATACATTATTAGAATCAAATCTCTTTTTATTAATATACAGAGTAAAATATTTGCACAGCTCAAGTTAAAGAAAATAGCTATACTCTAGGAGCTACGGACTGTACTGTGTGGGGTTAATATGTAACATGATAAAAGAATACCATTTTCCCTGGCTATAAAGTTAATATGCAATACTGGTCTACAAAAGGTAGAGATGACACTGCTGAGACTTAGAAGTGCTATTTAAAATTCATGAACATTTTAAGTCAATTTGCTGATTGTCCAGTGAATGCAATGTGTACCAATAGCAATGTTCTCATCACTTTTTCAGCATTGCTCTGTAACGTTTCATCCAAAATACAATTTGCATTGAATCTAGAAAAGAAAATTAGAGAAAGCACTTAACAGTGTGCTATCAGACCTGCTGAGCCAATTCCTACTACCTGCTGCAGATCCAGTTTAGACAATTGCACACGTAGTGACACAGTATGCAATTAGAGGTACCCAATATGGAATATAGTTCCAAGAAAGCACTTAAAGCATGGAAAGAGCAGTTAATGGAGTATCAGCATATTCCTCCTGGCTTAATCAGGCCCTTTTCTTAAAGAGCTAAGGTAGTCTTTGATAGTCTTCTCCACGTTTGGTACTGCATAAGCCTGAGCAGCATAAATTCCTGTGATGGTTCCCACTGCAACGCCCAGCACAGCAGAAGCCCTGAGTTTGGAAACAACATAGCCAGCCAGGAATCCCTTTAAAAATGGAGAGCTGAGGAAAGAGCCGTCCTGCAAACAATAAAAGTATAATTCATGTTATAGCCATAGAAAGTACATAGGAAAAATAAAAATGTACTGTATGTATTTGCCAGTATAACCTAACCTTGTTATATTGAGCACCTTCTAAATCTCTAAAAAAAAAAAAAAAAAAAAAAACGGTCCAGGACAGAAGCCCCATTTAAAATTTAAAGCACAATTCCAATGGGGGGGAAAGACAAACAAAAAAAAGACCCCCCCCCTTCCCACCCCGTATGGAATAGAGCATTCTTTCTGTAATTTTTAACACAGGGGAACCCTTAAAACAACATTAACTATATTAATAGCTCATGGTACAAGTGTGGTGGTTAGTGGGAAGAATGCTTCTTACAGTGGTGGCAAGTGGGAGGAATTCCCACTTACAAATAGCTAAAAAGATCACTGGTGTCAGTGGTTACATATTGGAGAGGGATAAGTTGCTCAATGAATGCCTGGCAACCTTTGGGGGAACCCTAGGATTCCACGGATTATTGGTTGAGAAAGACTGGCAAACAGTGACACTCACTGCAACCAACATAACATAAAGCGGTCTTCAAAATTCAATTAAATGTCAAGTTATGTTCTATGTATGTATGTCCTACTTTGTGATATACATAACTGTGTCAGATTAGTTCCATTAGGGTCTTATCGTGCAAATATAACTATTTTTATGCTTCAGTATTAAATCCGCATTCATACGTTTTTAGTATTGTTGAACAAAGTGTCTATTGGACCAATGCAATTAGATGGATCCCAAGGGGCAATTAGTATGATCCCTCCAGATGTTGGTCAAGTGCACTTCTGGTCTTAAACCACTTAAACCAAGGACATGCCAGGCCTCAAATCACTATCGCATTTTATTTTTTTATTTTTTGCTTTTAAATGAGTGTCCAGAAGCTCCCTGAATCTGTTTTATGCAAATCATTGATGTTTGCTATAAAGTAAGGGCTGCTTAGCCCTTTTCCTGCCTATTAGTCCTAAACAAAAAAAAAAAAAAAAAATCAGTAGAAGTTTTGGGAGTACAAGGCAGCTCTCGACATTCTGGCATACAGGTGAAGTTTTGCAAAATTATGTGCAGACACGCCACTTTAGATACTTGATATACTGACAGGTGTATTCTGAGGAGTTAAGTCATAGAGGGTTTATGATTTTAGCTCTGCTTTGGCAGAATTATTTTACTTTAACAATTCTCATAACAGTATCAGGGACCACAATACACCAGTCTGCAAACATGACTTCTTTACTTGTGTCTCGTGTATTCATTGACCATCAGTTGGCAGAACTTGGGTTGGGACAGCAGAATTTATTATTGGTCATTTATGGCTAGGTCCTAAGAATTTCACTGGTTATTTTATAGTTGCAACATGTAATGATGAATGCAGGTCCAGAGGATTCAATGATGTGACTGTTTGTTTACAATAAATACACCACAGGGACTGCACACAAAACAACCCTGCAGTTTCCTCAAAGCAAGCTACTAAACAATCACATTCATTAAAGTCAGTGTAAGGAGCTGATGGAAAGGATGATTCAGCTCTTAAACAGATATAGGGATTTATATAAAAAAAAAAAAAATAAAGCTGATCTGACCATTTTTTATAAAACCATAAACAGTATTGAGTGATTATTAAAGAAGTACAGCCAAAGCTCTTTTGGCTGTACTTCTCCTGTGGATTACAGGAGTGCAGTTCGTTTTGCACTCCTGTGACCCGTTTTCAGCTGACAGTGGACTGAAGTCACTCAGCCGATCCAGGCTGGTGAGAGTTCCTGGCTTTAAAGTCAGATTCCACCCAGGAGCCGCTGAGAGCCTGAGCCGACAGTGGTGATTGACAGTCACCACTTAGCGGTCATGTGATTGCTGAGTTCTCACGCTTAGAGCCGGTGGGGGACCGATGCTACATACACCAAGTAAGTATAATTGGGGCATAAAAAAATAAATAAATAAAAAGCACCACTCTTACTCATCTTGCCTCCAGTCTTCTGTTCAATGTACCTAAGTGGAGATCATTTCACTATCCTAGTGAAATCCTGGACAATTAAAAACTTAGACTGACTTCTGTTTGTTACCATTCCTACACTAGGATATCTTGCCTTGTGATAGATGAATCAAGAACACTACTATGTGTTTTATATGGACTTGCCTAGGTTTGCGGTTATCTTTAAACTACAGCATCTGGCTTGGTAGTCGTATAAAACGACAGGGCTTTCCTTTGAATGGATCCATATATACATATAACCTGGCACTTTAATCTATGAATATCTAAATAATTGGTCTCTATAGCAGCCTAGGAAGGCATCTGAAATTATATGTACAATTTTTCAAAGATGGTAGTTCGATCTCGCTGGGCCATGTAGGGGTGCCTCACATAATAAATTTAACAATAAATATGGAATACAAGATAATTAGATAACATATGCAAAGTTGCTGGGTTGCCATCCATCTGCTCCTGAATGGCTACAGTGCCAATACGACTTTTGCAGGTCAAACTAAAAGGGCTATTTTAGGTCTCTCCTTTAGAATGGTCATTGCTGACAGAAAGAAAACGTTTTTTTTCGAGTTCTGAACGATTATGGAATGTTGAATATTTGTATACTTACAACAAATTATAAACAACCATTTTTGGTTTTGTTCTTGCTAATATTATCTCACATTCTGACTGGGAAGCTTACAGTATAGAGGCAGTGATCAACATATACAGTGGGGATCGAAAGTTTGGGCACCCCAGCTAAAAATTTGCATTAATGTGCATAAAGAAGCCAGGGAAAGATGGAAAAATCTCCAAAAGGCATCAAATTACAGATTAGACATTCTTATAATATGTCAACAAAAGTTAGATTTTATTTCCATCAATTACACTTTCAAGATAACAGAAAACAAAAAAATGGCATCTGCAAAAGTTTGGGCACCCTGCAGAATTTATAGCATGCACTGCCCCCTTTGCCAAGCGGAGACCTGCCAGTGTCATGGATTGTTCTCAATCATCGTCTGGGAAGACCAGGTTATGTCAATCTCAAAGGTTTTAAATGCCCAGACTCATCTGACCTTGCCCCAACGATCAGCACCATGGGTTTTTCTAAGCAGTTGTCTAGAAAACTGAAACTGAAAATAGTTGACGCTCACAAAGCTGGAGAAGGCTATAAGAAGATACAAAGCGTTTTCAGATGTCAATATCCTCTGTTCGGAATGTAATTAAGAAATGGCAGTCATCAGGAACAGTGGAAACAGTTTAAAGCAACATCTGGAAGACCAAGAAAAATATCAGACAGAACAGCTCGCAGGATTGTGAGAAAAACAAATTCAAAACCCACGTTTGACTGCACGATCCCTCCAGAAAGATCTGGCAGACACTGGAGTTGTGGTACCCTATTCCACTATAAAGAGATACTTGTACAAATATGGTCTTCATGGAAGAGTCATCAGAAGAAAACCTCTTCTATGTCCTCACCACAAAAATCATCGTTAGAACTTTGCAAATGAACATATAGACAAGCCTGATGCATTTTGGAAACAAGTTCTGTGGACCGATGAGGTTAAAATTGAACTTTTTGGCCGGAATGAGCAAAGGTATGTTTGGAGAAGAAGGGGCACAGAATTTAATGAAAAGAACCTCTGTCCAACTGTTAAGCATGGGGTTGGATCAATCATGCTTTGGGATTGTGTTGCAGCCAGTGGCACAGGGAACATCTCACGAGTAGAAGGAAAAATGGATTCAATAAAATTTCAGAAAATTTTGGATGGTAACTTGATGCCATCTGTGAAAAAACTGAAGTTAAAGAGAGGATGGCTTCTACAAATGGATAATGATCCTAAACACACCTCGAAATCCACGGGGGATTACATCAAGAGGCGTAAACTGAAGGTTTTGCCATGGCCTTCACAATCTCCTGACCTCAACATAATTGAAAATCTATGGATAGACCTTAAAAGAGCAGTGCGTGACAGACACAGCCCAGAAATCTCAAAGAACTGGAAGACTTTTGTAAGGAAGAATGGGCAAAGATACCTCAAACAAGAATTGAAAGACTGTTGGCTGGCTACAAAAAGCGTTTACAAGCTGTGATACTTGCCAAAGGGGGCAGTACAAGATATTAACTCTGCAGGGTGCCCAAACTTTTGCAGACGCCATTTTTTTTTTTCTGTTATTTTGATAAGTGTAAATGATGGAAATAAAATCTAACTTTTGTTGACATATTATAAGAATGTCTAATCTGTAATTTGATGCCTTTTGGAGATTTTTCTATCTTTCCTTGGCTTCTTTATGCACATTAATATAAATTTTTAGCTGGGGTGCCCAAACTTTCGATCCCCACTGTACATATGGACTAAACATACTTTTCCCATGATTTTTTTTATCAGGACATGCATAAAAACCACAATTTTTCAGATTGAAGTTTGAATAACTTAGGAAGGTTTGGATGGTTAGCTTCAGGCATATTTTAGGTTTAATAGACTTTCAATTTTTATGCCAGATCTGGGAAATTGATAATTTTGTGTGTTTTTTTATCAATCTTTTGGTGTAATTTTTTTTTAGAATAAAGCTTTTGTATTAAAAAAAAAAAAAAAAAAAAAAAAAATTATATATATATATATATATATATATATATATATATATATATATATATATATATTTATTTTGATGCCCTAAGCTTTTTTCAATTTAAATATATCATCTACAAAAAAGGATATTTTTTAAAGTCTATGCAATTTTACATTGAGGAACATTCTTCTGAAATTAAGGTTTTCAAATTTTTAGACAACTTTTTCCAGATTGGTGAACCCTCATCATTAGCCCATCATTACATTTGAGACACTCTCACTAAGATGCTTTTCTTATACCCAATCATGTACGGACCTGTTGCCAATAAAATTAATTAGTTGCAAAATGTTCTTACAGCGCTTCCTTGTTAGTACCTTACTTTGCCAGCTTTTTGATGCCCTGTGCCAACGTTTTTGAGATGTGTTGCTGCCATCAATTTCAAAATTACCTTATTTTTTTCTTAAAAGTGTAAATTTTCTCAGTTTAAGCATTTGGTAGGTTTTCTATTGTGAATAAAATATGGGTTTATGATCACTGTATTCTGTTATGTAGATTTACACAGCGTCCCAATGGTTTTGGAATTGGGGTTGTTTATATGTTTTGAAGTCTGGGCATCATGAATATAGACATATTTCTCTTTTGAATGAGATTCTGCAAGAGCTCCACCTCCTGTTCTATACACACGCTACGGCGGGGACAATTCTTAAAAAGAATTACCACCAATTCACAGATTAGAAAACTGGAGTTAATTACATCCAGCTCAGAGCTGGAGTCAGATCTATGCAGTGCAAGAGTGTGGCATGTCTGTGCTGGTAAACGGTCATGAGTGGAAGTAGGCTCTCAGTTTCCCATCAGGTTCCACCCACTCCATTACAAAATTCTCAGTCATGAGCCAGTATGGACTCTCCAACCTTAGTGCCAGCCTCCAACAGATTCATGTACAAAGAAGACTTGTCTCAAAAATATACCATTTAAAACATAAGAAAAATTGTTTATTGCATGGGAAGATCTCTCATGGAAGAGAGATTTGACTTTACCTGAGATACCCCAGCTTGCACCTCATTTTCCAGTTTACGTTGCAGGCCTTCTAACTGGTCTTTAAGAAAGACGAGGTCCTTTAACTTTGGGGAGCCCTGAGGAATGTACGAATATTAAAGAAAGAAAATTGTAAATGTGTAATGATATATCCTGCCATCTATATAATTAAATGAAAAAATATAATATAAATACGTTTCAGCTGTTTTTATTATTCAGAGAGGAGTCCAACTATCAGTAAAAAGTATCCTCAAATGTGTAACTTAATAAATAAGAAAAAAAAAAAACAAATGATCTGTGCTTTACAAGCACAAGGTACCACCAGCCAAAATGGATACTTCATGAGTATATTAACCTACAGCAAAAATGTTTACAAACCCTACAACTTTAAAAAGTAACCTCAAACCTAAGCTCTGATTCATATCTAAAATGCATTGAAGCTAGAAGTATAAGTTCCACAATGCTCAACAAAGTCCCATGCTTTTAAGCTGTGCCTCTTCACAGGAGCACTGAGGAACCTGTAGCTTGACACCTGAAGTTTAGAAAGGTACACAAGCTACTTTTGAAACAGAATGGGGAATTTTTGACCCCACAGACTTCAACTGGAGTGTCTGAAAACAAGACTTTCAAGCCTAAACAACCATCTTCCTTCTAGTAACTAGCTCTCCATCTGCTATAAACAAAAAATGTTAAAGGTTAAAACTCCTGAAAAAAAAAAAAAAAAAAAAAAAACACCATGCAGAAAACCACATCGCCTGAAAATGCTTACACTCAGGTGTGCATTTTATGTTTAATATTAATGTCTATTGAGAAGTTTTTGCAAGTTGAAAGTACAATAACAGTAGGGAAGTGACCATGGCAAGGCCAAATGATAGATCCCGCATGCATATCACCAGTGCACAAGAAACCTAAACTAGACATAAATAAATTATAGGCATATCAGCAAGACATGGTAGTGTAAAAGTCACTTTCAAGTATGGTTAACTTCCAAAGAGAAAAAAGGGAGGTAAAAGAAGGGGGAAGAAAAAAGGCAGAAAAAAAGGGAGGGGACCCAATCTCGAGCATGCTGCAGGAGCATGCTCGAGTTCCCAGAGGTGGATGAAGCAGGTTGTCGGGCATCAATATAAATGATAAAACGCTTTGAAAACAAACCAACAGGCCCATATCTTCCTATAATGGTTAGGAAAATGGAAAATCTGTGTAAGTTCTTCCATGAGACACACAGTATGTCCTCTATTTTTCAAAAACGATGAGCAATAGATGGAATAGACTTGACTCCAGTATACAGGTAAAAGGGATTTAGCCATGTTTAGGAGGTGAAGGAGCAGTTATATCAGCCTTTAGATTTGTTTGTACAGTGAGAACAACCGACCAAGGATTTGATCGGAGCACTCAGTAATAATGTTCCTCTAATAAGTGTGGACAGTGCCACCAAGGTGTGTCTAACATTCACAAGGGCACTACCCGAAAGTTAATAAAACTCTTCAGATCATACGGACCTCATACAGTGCAGTTGTGAACATCACTGTATCAATTTATGTTATGATGGTTTATATTTAGAAACCGATGGATTGACCATTGTATACATTTACCACATCTACTGTCTGATGCCAGGATAAAGACAGGTCCAACATGCACTCCACTAGGGGAGAAGACAAACAAGGCTTGTAGCACAGTTGAGCAGAATCTCCTAGGTTATTCAACTATTCAAAAGTTTATCACCATATCAAAATGACAAATATGAGCACCAAAATGAATGCAGAAAAATTGCTTTTGATGTAATAGTAATTAAATCTTAGGAGCTTGGCTGCAGGTCTTCTCACACAGGCTTGCTCTCAGGTACATATATCGTTTTGGATATCTGTACGCGATGACACATACTACTGCTGTACATAAATAGATATAAAGTAAAATCATATTTGTATAGAAGATCTTACCTTTATCAGGCCTACAGGTTTTAGTTTTATTAAAATGGTGTATTTACATAGTAGTTACATAGTCTGGCTGAAAAAAGACAAACGTCCATCCAGTTAAAAAAAAAAAAAAAAAGTTAAATATTCCAGATGAGGTCTTAGTAATGATTTGTACAGGGGTAATATGATCTCTCTCTCTCTGGAGTCTATACCTCTTTTAGTGATAACAGAGTTGAATAGTGCTGGATCCTACTTCTGGGTGAAAATGGTCCAAACCTTATATAAGCCATTCGCAGTATGAATCTGTAGCTATTATACCAAATTAAAAAGAGCTCTAATTCCATAGCAATGAATAAGTTTTACAAAAGTAGAGCATATTTATAAAGCAGTTAATGTGACATTCATCAATCATTTATTGCAGGTATATCTTCCCAGTGCATGTGTTTTTAAACCACAGTAATTTATTTACCGGTGAACATTTTATGAAGTGCTTTGTAAACCTGTACCTAGAAATTTGCGAGCAACTTAAAGCGAACCTTTACTCATAACAATATCATCTCAATATTTTAATACTTAAAAAGAAAAACAAAAAAAAAAAAAAAAAAAAAAACTTTCAGAGTAGTTCAATGTTACTATAGTAACACTGTACAACTCTGGCGGGGGTTAATGGATTTTTTTTTTACTTTGCAGGAGCAATAAAGAATATTGCTCCACATGGGGTGCAGCACCCCTCTGTGTTAGTACAGCCAGACTGATGTACGTCGCTCTGCCTGTAGCTGCTGTTACCAAACAATACTTTCAGCAACAAGGAGTTGGCTTCATTCCAGAAAACATAACCTAAAAGTCCACTTATCTTCAACATAAACATCACAAAAGGAAACAAAGAAATGTAAAGTTCATATATGGGAATTACCCCAAGCTTAGCAAAATCCACCTTGAAGTCCTCATGCACACTGGACGTTTTTGCAGCTGCTGTTTTTGGCGTTTTGTTCTACAGACAGTAAATTCCCCAGCATGTTATCCTATGTGTCCATGCACATGTAGACTGAAATCAGCGTTTTTTTTTGGCAGGGGCGATTTTTAGCTGGAAAAAAAACCACCGAACTAGTGGGTTTCTAGAGGGTTTTTTTTAGCTGTAAAAACACTAACGCTGAAAAATGTGGCAAACCGATGTTTTTGGACTTTTTTTGATAAAAAAAAAAAAGGCTAGCAAACGTGAAAAAAAACTCAGAACACTAATGCAAAAACGCTGAAAAACTTTACACTGTAACATGACTTTACACAGCTAACGTTACCAGTGTTATTAAAATGTCCAGTGTGCATGGATCCTAATTGTTTGGCAGCTTCCAGCACATGTGCAGCACTCAGACAGGTCTCTCTCAAACTCCTACTCCTCATATCTTTGCACTGGGAAATTCCTGCCTTATGTATTGCTTCCTGGAAACTGCTTAATCCTGTAGGGCCCAGAGTCCCCATAGTCAGGAGTGGAGGTCCTATTTTCCACCCGAATGCGACTCCTGACCTCCAAAAATCCTAAATAAGCTACAACTAAAGCAGAGAGGACTGCGAGTCAGTCCTGTCCTTTGTATAACTGTGTTGGAAATCCTCACCCTATACGGGTGAGACCCCTGAATACATCCACCTGTCTCCCTTAAAGGGACAACAACCCTTGGCACAGGTAGAGTTTTGCTACCGTTTGTTCGATTTTCTAATCATTAGTGGGGTCAAATAACTGTGTGGTCACATTTCCATCCTGTGCCTTCAGATTTTGTCATCACTGTGGTCAAACTGTTCTCGACCAAACAAATTTCTAACATTGTATGTAATTTTTGTTTGGTAAGGTCCATTCCTTCCAAAATCAACTGTTAAAGCAAATTATATTTTGAACTACTTTTCAATGAATTTATTTAGGCCGCTGAACGTATTGAGCATATTCATATGAATATCTAGTAGTGTATACCCAGTTTTAGGAAATCGTGTGGTAGTGAAGGAATACTTCGAGGAACAGCCCTGAACTGAAGGCAAGTATTTTTGGAGGAGGTTTAACAAAAAACACACATACACCGGGCTGAACTTTAATGCAAGCCTGTCACATTTTGGTTAATATTGCAGTATGTTGTTAGGTAAATTTAGAAATCCTCCAAACTTTTTTGATGACTGCACATAAACCTACACTTACCAGCCACTTTATTAGGTACACCCGTTCAATTCCTTGGTAACACAAATTGCTAATCAGCTAATCAGTCAACTCAATGCATTTAGCATCTAGACGTGGTGAAGACGACTGGTGGTGAAGTCCAAATCAAGCATCAGAATGGGGAAGAAAGGGGATTTAAGGGACTTTGAACACGGCATGGTTGTTGGTGCTAGACGGGCTGGTCTGAGTATTTCAAAAACTGCTGGTCTACTGGGATTTTGACGCACTATTTCTAGGGTTTACAGAAAATGGACCCGAAAAAGAGAAAATGTCCAATGAACGGCAGTTGTGTGGACAAAAATGCCTAGTTGATGTCAGAGGTAAGAGGAGAATGGGCATTCGATTTCAGCTGCAACTTTCAGATGGTAGGGTCAGATTTTGGCGTAAACAACATGAAAGCATGGATAGATCCTGCCTTGTATCAACGGCTCAGGCTGGTGGTGGTGTAATGGTGTGGGGGATATTTTCTTGGCACTAGCAAGGTGTACCTAATAAAGTGGCCAGTGAGTGTATAAGACAGTATATGAAGAACTTCAAAGATACTTGGATACCTTCAGTTTAGCAATATTTATAGCTTTTGCATACAGTCCATGTGACATATTCCCCTTCTGGGCACTGATGCAAAAGGTATCATAATCCAAAGCAACCAGACTGCAGCTAAGGTACGATGTATGATAAATGAAGACTGCTATGGTTTACTGAATGTTACCCTTTCAAGGATTTATTTAGTAGAACACTGATAAGACTAGTAAACGAAAGTTAGCCATGGTAACCAATGCATTCTTCTTTCCTCAGAATGTACCAAACTGTTGATTTGGCCACTCATAAAATTGCTGCTCTCTCTTTGATGGATTTGTTTAGTTTTTGAAGCCTTACAATGGCCTGTTTCACTTGAACGCATGATGTAGGTTCACAGCAATAGCTTCCAAATGTAAATACCACTCTTAGAATCAACTCCAAACCTTTTACCTGCTTAACTGAT